TAGTAAGGCACTTGTTACTAATAGCTTCTTGTTACTACTAGTAAGGCACTTGTTACTAGTAGCGATGCACCTGTTACTAGTAACTAGTAGCTTGCTCTTACTGTCCCTAGTTGATTAAGTAGGCGCCTACTTAATTAGGTAAGCTACCTTACTTAAGCTACTAGCATAGACGCAGAATAGCTCACGCTTCTTCAAGGAAGCTCCCCCCGCCGCCCTAAAAGCGATTTGGTTCCTAGATTTTTAGGGAACCTTAACTTAAGCCCGGGGGGTGAGCATGGAACATCCCTTGGGTGGTCAGCTCACAACGGCAAGGGAGTCCTGTTGTTGAGAGAAGCCAATGCAAAAAGGGCATGCCTCAGAATCAACAGCCCACCAGCTCTAAGAAGGATGGCCTCGCTACTAGGTTGGAAGTCATCGCTACTAGGTTGGAGGCCTCAAAAGAATCAAACTGACCGACTGCTCTAAGAAGGCAAGCCGCTTTTGAGCCGAGTGTGCCTGGCAACTCAGGAACAGAAATTATGCTTGTGAATGTGTACATGTCCATGTCCTTGCTTGCCTCGTTCTGTTGAAGAAAGGACATGCTTAATCTGTAATCTTCTTTTTTTTGTCACATAATCGTTTTTCAGTTCACTTCCTTCCATGCTTAACCCTTATCTTTTATTTGTCCGTCCTGTCGCTCTTCAAGGAGCAAAGTCGCATCCAGCTTTGGCCGGGTCGTCGCAGCCGCCCCAGTTGCCGCTTCACAATCTTCCCTGACGCGAGTCAGATCAGCGTCAACAACGAATTATTCCCCGATTCAATATGCTAAACAAACATATGTATATATGTAATATATACATATTCTATATATATATAGTGTTATAGGTTACAAATGTGTTTGTGTGCCGTTCTTCTTTCATTGGGTGGATAGGAGGGTAATAATGACAGGTAAGTAGTAGCAAGGAAAGCTACTATGCAGTAGAGCGACATGTCGATTGTCAGTCAAGTTAGCCTGTAGACGTTGAATGACCTGTTCTTCAATTTTCTTCCCTTCGTTTCTTCCCTTCTTCCCTTCTCCTTTCTTCCTTTCTGGCACAATGTCCGCCTCAAAAGGGATCTTTGGAAGTCGCGCACTTCCATCACTTCCGTCATGCCGAAATCAAATCCTGCATCCAATCGCCGTTTCCCAATTGCAAATACAGTAATGCAAATTTGGGATCGTCAACTGTTTACTAGGACACCCATAGGCCCTATAGGCTGGATCCATCGCTGGTAAGTTGGAGGCCATCGCTATTTAAAAACAAAGAGAAAAAAAAAGGGAAGAAAGGTCTAAAATAGTTTGCTGCTATTTGGTTGGAGGCCATCGCTAGTAGGTTGGAGGCCATCGCTAAAAGAAAAAAGAAAAGGAAGAAAGGTCCATTATAGTTCACTGCTAGGTATGAGGCCATCGCTAATTAGGTTGGAGGCCATCGCTAGTAGGTTGGAGGCCATCGCTAATAGAAACAAAGAAAAAAGAAAAGGAAGAAAGGTCATTCGTATAATTTGCTATTAGGAGGCTTCAGTTCTCTATAGGCCCTAGGCTGGATCCATGCACTCATTGAATGACCGAGCTTTCATTGCAGTCCTTCCAAATAGCATTGCACAAAGGGGGCGGCCAGGCAAGCGCGGCAGTGCTTAAATGCTGTGTCCAGGTCAGTCAATGTGACGTTGTGAAGTGAGCTTCAGGTGCACTATGTTGATCGCTCTCCACCCGGCCCATACAAAACGTGTCTGCCGGATGTAAAGGAATGTGATGGCTGCTGTCTTGACAATGGATCTTAACTTCGCAGCGTTTTGTGCACAAAGTTTTCAGCAGTCGAATTCGAGCGGCCAGTGAAGTGAAGTAGTAACAAGTGCCTTACTAGTAGTAACAAGAAGCTATTAGTAACAATAAGCTAGTAGAAACAAGTGCATCGCTACTAGTAACAAGTGCCTTACTAGTAGTAACAAGAAGCTATTAGGCAACCCGACGATTCAAGAGGCCCCGACACTCATGGGCACTTGCTTTCGTTGACGCTGGTGGTTCATTTTGTCGAAGTTGGGACAAACAGTTTGGCGTCAGATTTCACAGGAGCCTCGGAGTGTAAGCACGGGGAAAACATGCTGCAGGAAGGTGGTGTCATTCAATTTCGCAATGTGGTCGAAGTGAGTAAGCCAGGTGGTCGTCGATGCTGTTCTTTGCATGCCTTACTTGCTTCCTTGCTTGCCTGTTTACTTTCTCTGCTCCCTTGCCTGCTTGCCTCAAAACGCAGGCACGGCAGGAAAACCAGAGAAGAAAGAAGCATGAAGCGAATGCTACATGCAGAGAAGTAAAAAAGCAGAGAGACCTGGAAGAAGAGGCAATACTATGTGACACAGAAAATCCGAAATGCACAAGCAATAAATAAAGGGGTCACCAAAAGCAAGACGAACAGCATAAAAAGCTGAAAGCAAAACAAATCCATTCATAAAGAAGCAGAAACAGAATACAACAAAAGCAACAGGCACGACAAGGAAGGAAAGCAAAAAGCCCAGAAGAACAGGCAACTGGCAGAAACAAAGGCATAAAATGAACAAGAGCCAAAGCAACCAGCGGAAAAGGAATTAAAAACCAGCGAGAATTCCCTCACAAATAAGTATATACAACTGCTGGAAAAAAAAAAAAAAACAGGATCAGGGTGCAAATTTGGAGGATTTTGTTGTTTGGTCGGTTCGGATGCATTGCATTGCAATCTCGGCTCGAGCAATGTCAACTCTCAAGTGACTCAAAGTGTTCCCACAAAAATGACTGGATGTGATAGCCTGGTCTTCAGTATGATCTCGAAATATCCCTGTCTCATCTTGCTGCTAGCCAGTATCTTTCCGGCCAAATAAAAACAGGTGATTGACATTCATCCGCTTTTGGATGTGGTTTGTTGGCCTTTGCAAGTAGGGGACTTGACTCTACTCTTGACTTCCTGCCTGGCATTAAGATCACAAAAAAAGGTTGCTGTGCATAACTGACCAAAAGTCCCATCAATGCAATTCTGGCCTCGACTTTTCTTGCATCCGTTGATGCCAAAGTTAGTCCTACAGACTCACAAGTGATGTCGACACCACGACCCCTAGTAGGAGCCCCTAGTAGCGTCCTTGCTCCTAGTAGTACGGCCAGGAGCTACTAGTTGCGTCCTTGCTCCTAGTAGCGATGCCAGGAGCCCCTAGTAGCTTCTTGCTCCTAGTAGTAAGGACAGAACGACTAAAACCGAAAACAAGTTTGGCTCCTGATCGATTGTACACAGGATCCATGAACTCATTCGCAACAATTGCTCCAGCCGCTGCACCTGAGACAGGGGCGAAGCAGAAAGTCTACGTGATGTAATTTGATGTCGACTTTCTGCCTGCAGTGGCTAACTTGGAGATGATTTGCCTATCGCGGCCCTTGCAAGAGATCAGACAAGCAATTTCAAACGACTCTCTTCAACCCTCAACAGTCGATGGTCCAAAGCTCGGGGCCTCTGACACATAGACCTGACATCTGCGAGAACAAACAAAAACTGCAAGACAGGACGTCAAAAACTGCAAACAAGGCACATGCGCTGCCAAAGCTCGGCGGGCACCAGCTATGACCATTTCATGAAGAATAAGTCAAATGAGTCAAACTCAACGGCCAGCATGCTTCCCTGGGCACCTGCCCATTGCCGCGGGTTTTTAGCTGCCAATTTAGGCATGATCCCATCGTAGGGCTTCAATCTCCTTGATCACTCCAGATCACGACTCCTCTGATTTGCACATGATAAAACTAGAAACGCATGTGCTGTGTGACTTCCTCACATATGTGGCAGCCTTTGGGCAATCTGCAGCTGAGCAAGGAGCAGATGAGAAGATGCGCTTGGCCCAACGATCCTAATAGCTTCTTGTTCCTAGTAGTAAGGCCAGGAGCCCCTAGTAGCGAACCTTGCTCCTAGTAGCGATGCCCTTTGCTCCTAGT